ACTATGTTGCAGCATAAAACGCCTCTGAATTATCTAAATCTGGCAATCCTGGTGGCATCTGAAAGGGAATTGTTCCTATACCCGTTGATGTAAGTTTCATATCCATATTTGGTTTATTTCAGACAAAATATCGTCAGAAGAATGCCAGAACTCCTGTCCTGGTGCTTGCTATTTTTGTGTAATTCCCACTTGTCTACGCATTACTGGTCATGTTCCCGCGCATTGATGGCACTACTATGTTGGAGCATAAAAGGCCTCAGAACGATCCAAATCTGGCAATCCTGGTGGCATCTGAAAGGGCAATTGTTCCTACACCCGTTGATGTAAGTTTCATATCCCTATTTATTTTAGTTCTGAAATTATATTCAGAAGAGGGCCGGAGATCTTGTCCTGCTGCTTGCTATTTTTGTGTAATTCCCATTTGTCTACACATTGTAGGTCCTGCTCCCGCGGAATGATGGCTCTCTTATGTTGCAGCATAAAATCCCTGAGAATTATCAAAATCGGGCAATGTTGGTGGCATCTGAGTGGCGAATATTCTTCTATCCATTGATGTAGGTTTTGCATCCATATTTAGTTTATTTCAGATATTCTCGTCAGAAGAATACCGGAGCTCTTGTCATACTGCTTGCTATTTTTGTGTAATTCCCATTTGTCTACGCATTCCAGGTCCCTTCCCGCGCAGTGATTCCTCCCTTTGTTGCAGCAGAGCCTGACAATTGTCCAAATCAGTCCTTGTGGCATCTGAAATGGCGAATGTTCCTCTATCCATTGATGGCATAATCATATCCATATTTATTTTGGTTCGGAAATTATCCTCAGAAGAAGGCAGGAATTCTTCTCCAAGTGTTTACTGTTTTTGTGTAATTCCCATGTGTCGCTGCATTACAGGTCCAGTTAACGTGTAATGGCTCTCTATGTTGCAGCATAAGAGACCTGAGAATTGTCCAAATCTGGCAACCCTGGTGGTATTTGAAAGTTCTAATATTCCTCTATCCATTGGTGTAAGTTTCATATCCGTATCGTTTTTGGCTCTACAAATATTCTTCAAAGAAGGCAGGAGGTCTTGTCCTGCTGCCTGACAGGGCAAAAATCCCTCTATCCTTTCATGTAAGTTTCATATTCAAATTTGTTTTAACTCTACAAATACCCTCAAAAGAATGCTGGAGCTCTTTTCCTATGTACTGCTTGCTATTATTGCTATTATTGATTCTCCCGTTGTCTAGTCATTATTGGTCTGGTTCCCGTGCAATGATGGCTCTCTATATTGCTGCATAAAAGATTTAAATTGGATTTAGATTTATTGCAGCATAAATTTTTTTTCAAATTTGGCAATCCTGGTGGCATCTGAAGGGGTAAATGATCCTCTCTCCATTGATTTAAGTTTCATATTCATATTTGGTTTATTTAGTTACAAAATAACCTCGACTAGAGAAAGAAGGCAGGAGATCTTGTTCTACTGCTTGCTATTCTTGTGCAATTCCCAATTTCTCTATGGGTTATTGGTCCTGTTCCCCCGCAATGATGGCTAATAATCCAGCAAAAAGTACATAAAATTTGTCCAAATCTGGCAATACTGATGGCATCTGAAAGTTCGAATTTTCCACTATCCACTGGTGTAGGTTTCATATGCATGTTTCTTTTAGTTACGAAAATAACATCAAAAGAAGGCTAGAGTTCTTGTCCTGCTGATTGTATTTTTGTGCAGTTCTCCATTGGTAGGCCTAGTGTTCCCCACTCGGCGATGGCTCTCTGTTTTGCAGCATAAAAGACTTAAAAATTTTCTGAATATACCGTAGATACTGTAGCTTCAAAGACTTGAAAAGTGTCCAAATCTGACACTTCTGGTGGCATCTGAAAGGGCGAATGTTTCTCTCTCCATTGATGTCAGGTCTCATATCCATATTTGTTTTGGTTCAGAAAATATCCAAAAATTAAAAGAAGTCAGGAGTTTTTGTCCTACTGCTTGCTATTTTTAGTCAGTTCTCGCTTTGTCTACCATTAGCCTATTGGTGCTGTTCCCGCGCAATGGTGGTTCTATGTATTATAGCATAAAAGACCTGAAAATTGTCCAAATCTGGCAATCCTGGTGGCATACGGAGGGGCGAATGTACATATATGTATTGATGTCCACCCTTTTTTATTTGACTTGCTCCGAAGATAAGCCCATGTAGTGGTAAAACTGTGCGTTATGCTTTGAATGTAGCCTTCCACGTCAATCCAAAATATTCCCTCAATTTGGAGCTTTTTTTAAAGAGATAGGGCCTACCCCAAACTGGAAACTACCAGTTCAAAATTCGTGATTATATTTCCATGATCCCTGCTGATTAAGCCATGTCTCATTGTCAAAACCCTGTTTGGTCTCAAAATATTAATGAGCTTAAGTGCAGATCCAACAATTTGGTGGAATGCACCCTTGAGTGCACCAAAGTAATTCAAGTAATTTTAATGTAAGTTTAGCTGTGATTCGTTATTTTGGCGAGGGGAAAGCACGTGTATATTGTAGACAAAGTCAATTACGCAAAAATAGGAAGCAGTTGCACACCAACTCGTGCTTTCTTTTGCAGATATTTCGCTAACTAATGCAAATATGGATATGAAACTTTAATGCCACTGTGTCTGGTATTATTACTTTTCTTTTATCGTAGGTAGGGTTAGAGGCGTCTGTCCCCGATAAAGATCGATACATCACCGATGCCAGCAGGGTTAGGTTCCGGACAGACGTATCCCGACATGCAGTTTGTGTACTTGCGCGGCTGGGTGACATTCATTTATCCTTATCTTTCATTTCTTATATCAGTTATTTTTTACGTAACTTGCACTGCACAGTTCATTTTTTGATGGAAACGGCGCATTATAAATTTTCACTTGTTATTAAATTTTCAATTATTGTCAAGCTTGATTGATTACAGTGTAAAATGAACAAAGGTCGGAGCCACAAGGCAGGCAACTGAAGTCCCTGAGGCCTCTCCAACAAAAAACAATGTGTTGTTTGGTCCTGTAGATTTCATTTGATTTTGAAATATGAGTAGGTCAAGCAATGAATTTTACATTATCCTCCAAAACAAAATCACCCCCCCCCCTTAAAAAAAGTGAATGTACCGAAGTGTTCTTAGAAGCCATTTTTCAAATGACATCCCTTACCTTTTCTGGCTCTTCTGACAAATTTTCAATTAAATTTTTGTCTGCTTAGCCCCCAAGATGGGTGCCTCTGAATCTATAGAGATAATCCTAAGCCAAACTTACACAATCGTACAATTTCTTGATCCATACAGACCCTTTTGGGGAAACAAAATTGCAGGGGTACTTTATAGTGCCTCCTCTGGCAGAGAATTTTCTTTGAATTCGGACACTGCACCCACGGACGTATATAAAAAAAACCTCGACTTGCAACGCC